GCAGAGAGCTCAGACAGTGGAAGCTCTGATGATTCTGATAGTGAAGAAGAGGCTCCAGTGAAGACTGCTTTGGCCAAGGGAACTCCGTCTAAACCGAACATTACCAAACCTAGCAAGGGTGCCCCTGCTAAGGCTGCAATTACTGCGAAGTCCTCATCTGCTACAAAGAATAATATACACTCCGATAGTAAAGAAGAGGCTCCAGTGAAGACTGCTTTGGCCAAGGGAGCTCCATCTAAACCAAACCTTGCCAAACCTAGCCAGGGTACCCCGACTAAGGCTGCAACTACTACCAAGTCCTCCTCTGCTACAAAAAAACATGCTAGCTCAGACAGTGAAAGCTCAGACGACTCGGATAGTGAAGAAGAGGCTCCAGTGAAGACTGTTTCGGCAAAGGGAACATTGCCCAAACTGATAAATGCAACCGCTACACCTAAGGCTGCATGCACACTTGGTGTAGCAACGCTAGACAGCTCTTCTAGTGAGAGCTCCGATGAAACAGACAGTGAAGAGAAGACTCCAACTAAGGTGTGTCCCCCCATCTCTCATTTGCTTCATTCTGCTGTGATCCTTCAAATGTATTCCCAGACAGTGAATTTAATCAAATAGATTGTGCTATATGTAAAAGGCACACATGGTTGCAGCAGTGAAAGCAAGGCTTGTAACACCTCTCTCGCAGTGCCAGAAGAGGGCAGTAGCCACACAAATTCCTTGGATAGTGAGGGCAAAGCAGTAACACCACTTGGTCCATCTGCGTAGTTAATCACATAAATGGTATTTATAGTTTGAATCGCGTTCCCGTTCTGTGTTCAGTGCTGCATTATGATTTACCTTCTCTCTCTCTCTCTCTAATTTTGATGCTGTCTAACAGAAAGTTGTGACAGCTCAGCCAAAGGCAGTACAGGTCACAGCGAAGGCTGCAGCCAAGGTGGCGGAGCCCGCAAAGGGGCAAGACATGGGCAACGGCTGTGCGGCAGGGCAGAAGGCGCCAGCTGCAGGTGTGATCTGATCGCCTGGCTGCCCGTTTCACATACCTGTGCTCGTGTTCAGCATTTCCGGTCTCGGCTTTCCAGTACACTGGCTTCTTGTATGGCTTCATGGACCCTTGCCACAAATTACCTCATCGTCCAGTACCCATATCCCAAGCTCCTACTCTTCCAAAAAACAGTTCTCATCAAGTCAGCTCGGGACGATCTCACTGGGCTTAGGTATCGCCATTACTGAACCATAAAATCTGTAGGGATATATTAAAAAAAGGCTTAACATCAACACTTCTTGAGTCTGGCTTTAAGACTGAGAGCAGTTGTGGACTAAGCCTGAAGAAAAGCTTTTTAGGTTTTTGGCAGCGTGGCTGTTATACCATTGAGTATGAAGGTTTTGACCCAGATCACTAGCAATACTAAGACTAGAAACCAGAAAGGTTTATCAGCTACTCTTTACGAAGTGTTGATGAAGTTGCCAAGATTGACTACAACCAAAGGCACTCAGTTCAGATGAGTAGAAGTTTTTGCTGCCATCAAACCTGTGTTGAATGGGTATGTAATGAGAATATGGCAAAGTGAGGGTATCGGTTGCATTAATAACAACCTGTATGGAATTACCACTGTTACAAATGGCGCAGCAGTCAGTTTTAAAAGTCGGTGGGACCATGTCATTTATAAGTGAGGTGGTATTGGGCAAACCGGGCCGACCCGCATCTTCTTACTTACAGGTGAAGATCCACCTGTATGTACTGCATGTAATGCTCCTTTGGCTGTTAAACACGTTTTGCTGTTTTGTCCTTTTTTTGACTGACATATTTATCATTTTCCTGACTCTTTAACAGAGGTTTTTAGTAAAGTCGACTTTTTTTTTAACATTGAAAACTAATGTTAAACATCTCATATGCTCCAGTCGTCATTGGCCAGCTTCCCGTATCGCTGAAAGCTGAATGCACTGTTTTGCTGTTTCAGCGGCACATGTGGACGCAGACGACAGCAGCTCCAGCAGCTCCAGCGAGGAGGAAGAAACATCCCAGGTGAGTCACCCAGGCATGGACGCTCAATCCAAATGCTCCCACCATGTGGGGAAAGTTGTCCTGCTTGGGGTGATTTTATTCTGCTTTGGAAAAAGAAGATGATACAGGGACAGGATGCAAAGAGAGGCAACAAAGCAACGCAAATATGCACCTGGGAAGCATTCAGACTGTCGATAGCAAATGTCAACATGAAAGAAAGTGAAACCTATGACATTTCAGGCATTTTTAGGTCCATAAAAAGAGGACAAGTTCAGGAAAAGAGGACATATGACCAGCCCAGTCCTGCAGGCCACGTAGCAGCAGATTATTGTGGATTTTTCACACTCCTGCTCTCCAGTCTCTTCTAGCTCCTAAACCATCCCCTAAAAAGTCCTCCGCTGTGAGTAAAAAGACTCCAGCAGAAAAAGGGAAGAGGCAAAAAGACTCCGTTCCATCTGGGAGCAAGACCACCACAAACGTGACCCCTGCCTCCCCATGGACGGTTACAAAAACGACCCCCGTCGTTCCTCCCGCTAGCGAACTGGACTCTGATGTCACAGACATTGAGCGTGACCCCAGGCCATCGGCATCCAAAGGTAGCATCCTTCGCTGCAGCAGAAAACTAAACGGACACTAGACACTTTATACGGGACTTAGGTTAACTGCTTTGCTGCACTGTCATGGGTCTTCAGGATCATTTCCAGTGCTTTATATCTCCGTCTTTAGTTGTTGCTGCTACACCCAAAGGAAAGAGGGGAGTTAAGAGTGGTGATCAGGCTGCAGACTCACCGGTAGGAAAGCCATGTCTGTATGCTGACTTACAGAAATGTATAAACAGATGATGTGTGTGTGTGTGTGTGTGTGTGTGTGTGTGTGTTGCGTTAAACTTTCTGGTGTTTTAATTGGCTGTTGACTTGCAGCTGGCTAAAGCGTCTCCCACTAAGAAGAAACCCCCAGCCGTTGGTTCCAGCAGTGAAACCCCAACCCCACTGGCGAAGCCGAAGAGGGGCAAAGACAAAAGCGAACACGATGCTCCCAAACCCAAGAAGAGCAAAACAGATTCTCCAGAGCCCAGCAAAGTCGTGGTGCCACCTCCTATCCCGGCAGCAGGGGGCGACTCTGAGTCCGATTCGGACAGCAGTCTGGATGTAGAGAAGTGGAAAAGGCTGGTACTGCATTTGACAGGTACAGTTAGTCTTCCAACCATTGACCTGTTCTTTCTTCATCTGTGATCCCTTAGCTCAGGGGTGTCAAACTCCTGTCCTGGAGGGCCGGAGCCCTACATATTTTTGGTTTTCCCCTCATGTTGCACACCTGATTCAAATTCTTGCACCTCCTTGCGCTAATTACCACACATCTCTTGACCTGAATCATTTGTGGTGGAACAGGGAAAGAACTAAGCTACACAGGGCTCCGGCCCCCCAGGACTGGAGTTTGATACCCCTGCCTTAGCTGACCTCTTGTGTGTCCTGAATGCTCTTAGCTTTGTTCGTGTCTGTGGTTGAATCGCTGTCTTATTAGGTTTTTCCTATGTTGGTAATGCATAACTTTTGCTCCTGTGCTAAATTGCACTAGCTGCACTTGTACCTAAGTTGGACAAATGCAACTGCTAAATTAATCACTCTAAATGTAAACATGTCAGGACGTTAATGCAGTGCTATCATAACCGTATTGGCAGATTCTGACATTGCAAAGATGGATGCCATTGCTTCGGTGGCCCTTGGCTCTTCCACCATCTCCGTGCCGGGGAAAAACACAAAGACAGTGTCTAAGACAAAGGAAAAGGAGAAGAATGGAAAGGCCAAAGCTGGCGATAAGCAGAGCCATGGCACAGCCAGCGGGACTAAGAAAGCGTCCCCCGACACATCGGCCCAGTTGGCACAGTCCGTCAAGGACGACCAATCGGCAGAGGCAAAGGCCAAGCCTGCAAAGAGGCCACTCTTCACCGCCACTGGTGCTCAGTACGGCCACAAGACGCCCGAGAAGAAGCAGAAGTTAGACAAAGATGGCACAAAACAGACGAGCGCAGAAAAGAGAAAAGATGTAAAGGAGAAGAAAAATAAGCACCAGAAGGAGGTGGCTAAAGGGAAAGAGAGAACAGCGGATGTCAATCTGCCCGCAGCTGCGGCGAAGCTTCCGGAAGACAAGGCTGCAAGTAGGGTTTTTACTTTTGGTTGCGCTTCCTGTACAACACTGTTCAGATGAAGTATTTTACTATATTTATTATGACTTTTTTTTTCCCCACAGAAAAAAATAAATTAAAGGTTGGAAAGGAGAAAAATCTCACCAGTACACCTTCGAAAACTCTCCAAAATGATTCTCCGCTTTCGGACTCCGGCCAAAAAAAGGTACCATCAGACACTCTGTTATTGATTCCGAATTACAGAAGCTCCCGCGATGCTGTGCATTATAACCTGTCACTGTGTCTTGTACCTGTTTCATTTCCTTACCTGTCAGTGTTGACTGGGTCACAAAACATGTCACCAGTCAGAAATAAATGTCGTTTCTTTTTTTTTCTCCTCCTTTTTCATTTTTCTTTCAGAAGAAGAAGTCATCTAAGAATAAATAACTCAGGGCCATTTCGGTGAGTGAAATTGTCCATCCATCATTTATTTTGAATAATTGCATGTGTGGTGAGTCTCAGAATTACTCTGGTGGTGCTTCCAGGGTACGAGGGTGTGGTTATGCTCACACTCAGTCACACAATCACAAATGACGTGCAGTTTATAGTCTCTAATTCAGCTCTGGTGCGTGCCGTTGTGATGTAGTGCATGTAACTCAGGCTGGCACATGGAGACTTTCAAACGCTTTATACGGATCAGCTGGAACACACAAATTTGAAGGTGTGTGCATGTGTGAGCCAATAAAGGTCCATTCTGAGCAATCACATCATTCAAATGAAATTGTACCAGATTTCTATGTAGCGATTTGTGCCATATCAGCTAGATAGTGGCTGTCCAGGACAGACACTGAACCCTGTATGCTGGAGTTGGCGTGATGATGATGATGATGATGATGATGACCTTGATCTTTTTTTTTTCCCCAAGGTGGTTCTCGTCGCCACACACGAAGATACACACACAACTGGCAGCCTATACAGAAGATGGCCTCATTCACATGGCCAGATATTTTTTTTTACTGATTTTTTTTTTTTTTTACTTTGTACGTCTTATAGATTCTGTCTGTTGTCTTTTAATCATAAGTAATGTGGATACTTGGTCGTAAATCCATCTTCAGTGTTTCATATGTCTTATTGTCCTGGAAAATGGTTGGTAGAAAAGAACCTGAAATTACCTCTAAGTGTGTTCACACGCTGCTTCTGCAGACTGTTGAAACTAAAAACGGTACATTTCATTCTGAATTACTGCAGTGTTAGTTTTTTCCATTTCCTCCTGTACCTACCTGCATATCTTTACTGAAGCAAGAGTTTCTCTGCATCATGTATGAAAAGTGTTAAAAGGCCAGCGAGGTTAAATGGATCTTATTAATAAATTACTTAGAAATAAATGCATCCGAATTTTTCAGGTTCCAGGCTCACAAACTGATTTTAACATAAACTTATGTAAGTATATTCGGTATATGATTCCTGTTCTCTTCTTGACTGGAATAGCAATTTTAATAAATATTTTTTCACATTTAAAACTGGCGTCTGTTCAGTGCCACCGATTTCCTTTATTTCATGCTTTCTTAGGGTGAGATATCTGATCGAATTTGTGTCCGGCAATGAGCTGAAGCATAAAGCGCCGTGTGATACTGACACGATGAAGTGGCGTCATTGCTGCCGTGCGACGCTGTCGATAGTTGTACATCTGTTCGCATACGTCATCACACTGCGACACCGGCAGGATGTCGATGCGGCGCTGAATCTGTGTGCGAATAACTGAGAATCCTCTGGTTCATGTATAAACTTCCAGTAAATCTATAAGTAGTGTCAGTGTGTTTGATAGTCTTTTTTTCCTAAAGTACCTGATAAGTGTTTACAACAAAAGAATAAAACTAACTGAAAATGAGTTATCGCTAGTAATATTTATCTTTCCGTCTTGTTGTTACCTTACTGAATGAGTATTATAAATCATTTAAATAACAGTGAACACGATGGCATCTTGATCGATTGCGAGTGGCAGCATGTGGAGGCTGAACGCAGTCCGCCACAAGGCGCGTGGTCGGAACACCGCCGGGGAAGAGTTCAGGTTAAAGAGGCGAGAGCAAGAAAGAGGTGAATATCAAGTAATTCTCCGGCAGTTGTTGTCCATTTTTCTTCCAGTTTTCCTGGTTAGTTATCTGATTTCCCCTGAAATTTATAATATAAATACAATTTTAACGAAGTCAATGTGATTGCCTATTATTCAAACATTTATAATTAAAAGACACCAAAACTGGTTATGGAAGATGGTTTTCCGGCTTTGTTGCCTTCCTTCAGTCTGTCGTGCTGCTTCCTCTGCCTTCAGAGTTCAGGCAGGCACGGAAGGACCAGCAATTAGTGAGTAAAAGACTCATTGAAGAAGATGAGGAGGAAGATGAAGGAGCCATGGATACAGCAGACAGTAAGCTGTGGAAAGACCAGGTACCTCTCGATCATTCTACGTTCAGTACAATATTAGTTTCCATGGATATCAGTGCTGGCACAAGTTTTATATCAAGGTTGGCAGTCATGGAGTAGATGTGTGGTCCGATAGGCTGCTTAAACTGCATCCTGAATGATTGTAATCTCCAGGGATTTGTGATCTGCTGCAATTCCATTGCTAGGAATTGGTGGAATTATTGCAAGGAGTCCAGCATGGTGGAGAAAAACGGGCCAGTAACCTGCGAACGCTGAGGAAAGTCCTGCGAAGCCCTGAGGCTCAGCTCATCCTCATCGGGTATAGCGAAGTGCAGCACTCCCCAGTAACCCCCAGCTGAGTCACGTAACCAAGCCTTTCTGGTCTAATTTTATACTTGCTGGTGGCAAACTAGTTAGAATGGCTGCTGCATAAAAATGACTTCGATTGAACTGTATTGATCTTAAAACTAAAAGATATAAGTTATAAAAGCAGGACATGCCTGCATGTGGAGTCTGACGGATTTTGTTTTATTAGGTTTTGTAACAGTAACATTGTACTCCCATTCTGTGCTGGATGGCAGCAGGGGGAAATAATTCAATATTTCAAGTGAAGAAACAGTAAAGCAGGGAGTTAAGCCTAGTGCCTGTGTTTCAGGCTGGAGAACAGCATGCAGGTTTTGGTGGGGCTCCTCAGTGGCTCCAGTGCGCAGTGCCAACTGGAAGCTGCTCACTGCGTGCACCAGCTGTCCAGCTCGACCTGTGCCCGTGTTGGGGCTGCCTGCCTGCCAGCCACGCCCTACCTGATCACCTACCTGTCGGGACAGAATGCCAAGTTCACGGTGAGCACTTTGAGCCCTTCCTACTGAAGGTCCCATCATCACTGTAATTGTGTTGGTTTTGACTCCGCCTCCTTAACTATTAAAGCATACACGGTCCCGTTCTGACTGGTTGTGCTGCTGGTTGGCTGTTTCGTCAGTATACCTACTGTGTCTCTGTCATTGATGGGCTGTGGTTGATCACTCCTGTCCCCGTGGCTAATTGCTGTGGCATGTGCTTCGTGTAGGAGCTGTGCTTGTACACCTTGGGTAACCTGTGTGCAGGAAACATGGCAGTGAGGGACAAAGTTCTGGCTCAGGGGATTATCCCAGCACTAGCCGTCTGTATCCAGGTGAGCTCACTTGCATTCCAGCCCTTTGGTCTGGCCGTTGGCCCTTTTGTCTGGCACTGTTTGCAGGTCAGGTTTGTCTGGCTTTCACAGGTGTGCATTCATAGTCTTCTGTGTGCTCATATTGTGGACTGCTCAGACCTCTCCCTCTCCCTCTTTCTCACTTTATCTCCAAATCTTGGCACCCAGAGACCAAACCTAGCGGTTGTGGAAGCTGTGGGATTCATTGTAGCTCAGCTGCTCCAGGCTAAAGATGCTTCAGAGAAGATCATTCCGTGAGTCTCGATGTCTGCTTTAAGTATCTTTGACTTAACAGCCCTTGAGCTAGCATTTATGCTGTATTCACCAGTTTTTTTTCCCCCCATAAGTTTTTTTTTTTTTTAAATCATTTTGCACCATGTAGTGTTGGACAAAATTACTTTTCATGAACCATTTGCTATTTTTTTTTACTCCACTAGATGGTGCTCTTGGTTGCTTTGGGACATGCTTTGTGCCCTTTTTGAACAGGGAGCACCATCTAGTGGGGTCAAAAATATAGTAAATATTTAGTGACGTGTCATTTTGTCCATCACTAGGTCCATGTATTATAAATTTCTCTTCAAGGAGTTGCTAGAGTCTGTGAACATGCTCATCAGGGGGTCGTCTGTGGTTTGAGTTCTAGTTCTGGAGGATCAGTGTGGATTTATGATTGTGGCTTTGCTCCATAGACTGGTCATGAGTTCTGGGCTGACTCTTCACCTCCTGGCTGCCCTGCAGCCTCAGCCCGAGTACGGAATGGGAGCAGCCATTGAGTATGCCTGGTGTCTGCATTACCTGGCTTGCTGGTGAGTGTGTCTCTTGAGTCACCAGGTTAATCAGAAGAGGCCAGTTTACACACCATACTACTGCTCTCTCGCACACAGCGACAAGGCCTCTGAAGCGCTTATAAGCCAAGGAGCTGTATCGCAGTGCAGTTCCCTGCTGATAACACTAGGTGGTGCTGTGGCCACAGGTAACACCGAGGAAGGCATAGAGCTGGTAAGAGCCGTGTAAACATTAAATGCATCACATCAGTTTCAAAACCATTTCCTAATAAAACTACCAATAAAATCTGTATAGATTAACTGCTGCAGTAAAAGATAAAGTAAGGAATAAATGCATTCTTGTATAAAGGTACCGCCCTGCCCCCCTACAGCTAATCTGGCCATTACTGCGCTGTGTCGGCAACCTGCTGGCAGGCAGCGCACTGGAATGCTGCGCCTCGCAGCTGACGGACAGCCGACTGCTGGCTGCGCTCTGCATACTGGCGCAGACCTTTCTGCAGCCGCACCCTGGCCTGGCTAGAGAGAGCCTCTGGGTCCTAAACAACTTAACAGGTAGAGAAGGAAGGGCACTTCATACTTCCTTTCCCCACTTGCGCTTTGATGCTGCAGACGGTCGTCCGCCCGGCAGCTTGTGTTCATACTACATTTGGCTGCAAATGTGGAGGTTGCGGTTGGTGTGTGCATGCAACAGCGATATTCCACCAGACCAGCAGAGGGCAGTATAGTAAAACGGATACATTTTAAACAATTTTAAAGTCATTAGTCTAGGCTTGGGTGGCACTATAATAATATAGCATACCCCGGTATACGGAATTCCTTACGACAAAGTGTTTTAAATATATATACGCCCAATTTTATCTCTGATATTTCAAAGTTTCAGAATACTGCTGCTTTTTAATGTACTGTATACCTCGGTATAATGTCCGGACAGTATGAAAATGTAGATATGCAGGTACCTCCGACCTTCCTCATACAGCTACTACAACAACAACTTTTCTTCCTCTACTTGTCGGTGACCACTGATCTCTGAGAGTGAAGAGGGCCACCTACTGGAAATGCCTAATCAATTATGTTGTACATGCATAGTACAATTTCCGGATAGACATAAAAATCTGGGCTATTTGCGCGCGGTGGGCAGCCCAATTTCCATCATGTCCCCTCCGCAAACGAAAGCGCACACGTGAATCGGCCTTAAGATGGTCAGTGAGTTTTGATTGCTGGGACCAAGATAAATAAAAACTCTTTGTGTCCATCAAGCACATTCTTTTAGTATAAAATATTTCAGTAATAAAACTACAAAACAACATGTATTTCAATGATTTTTACGACATTGTAGTAGTAACCAGCAGAGGTTAAGCAGTATAACTAACCTGACTGATTCTGGTTTCATTCCCTTTGCGTTCTGGTTGAATCCTGTTCTCTCTTCAGCGGATTCCAGTGTTTTCAGCTCTGCTGTGCTCTACCTGTCTTTGGTCCCGAGTTTGATCCAGCTGCTGCCGTTTTCCAAGGGGATCAATACCATGGTTAGCAGCCTCTGAGGAGATGACCGAATTGTTTTTCTAGCTTTTTAAAATTAAGTCATTTCATCCAAAATTACTTGCAGTTCTGGCCATTGCAACTTTGCTGCATGTTGGCTTGTGGGAACAGCGTCAGGTGTATCCTGAATCTTGAACCAGGTCAATGATATATTCCTAACCTTTAGGCTATCTGCTTTTTTTTGGTATATTGTATTTGGCACCTGTTTCTCAGAGGTGGAGATTTCAGGTCCAGAAAGTACAAATCCAAGCCAAGATTTTGTTTCAACCAACCAGTTGAGTCCTCTGTGACTGTGACTCTTTATACTCAACTGGCTGGTTGAAACAAAATCTTGGTCTGGATTTGTACTATCTGGACCTGAAATCTCCAGCTCTGCTGTTTTGTGAGACTATTTCTTATATTTATTAAACAGAGCCCCTGTGTTGACATTTCTGGTTACACCTAGCAAATGTCACCTGTGTATAGGTGCTGCAGGTCCTGGCTAATGTTGCCTATCAGGGGACAGAGTACTGCGTCCAGCTTACCCACAGTGGGCTGCTACCTGCTTTGTGTGCCACTCTCAAGATGGCCGACCCAGCTGTGGTGACGCTTAGTCTGGAAGTGCTCTGCATGCTGCTGGCCAGCAGCTCTCAGGTACAGTCTTATAATCTCCCAGTTGTCTTGCAGTTAAAGCTAGACAGCAACAATAAATGGTTTACCCCTTCTGTAGCGATGGCCAAATGAAGCTTCATGAACCATTTGCTGTATTTTCTTCCACCATTGCTCTCTATTAAAAAGGTTCCATGCCCCAAAGCAAAGTAGAGCGCCATCTAGTGGGGTCAAAAAATACAGCAAATGGTTCATGAGGCATCATTCTGTCCATTGTCCATCAATAATCGTCGCACTATGTCAGGCTTCTGTTGGATTGTCTACCGCAGGCTGCAGAAGAGTTTGTGAAGCTGGGAGGCTCTGCGGCTCTGGAAGCCATGCGATATAACAGCCAAGACGAGCTGCGCCTCCGAGCCTCTTACCTTCTGGAGCATCACCTACCTGCCTATAGCCAAGTGAGAAGCATCTGCCTGTACTTCAGGAATCGGCACAAAGCATGCTGTTGTGTCCACTCTGATTTCAAAACATTATTTTGTGTACTTACTGCATACCGTGCTAAAGTGCACTTGCTACGATCAGCAGTTAACCATTCTGTTTCCTTTTTCCTTTCAGTCATAGAGGTAAAAACCCCAGCATTGTGACAGTTCAGCATCGGGACTGTCTCTGGTGTCATGGGAGGATGAAGGATGACCATTATGCTGCCAGATGTGCGATTTTCAGAAAAGTTTTAAATACTGGTTTTGATAGATTGTTTCTGTATCTTACAGTGTGACTAAATAAAATATATATGCATTTCTAATAAATGTGTGTTTTATTCAATTGGTCCTCCGTATGCCTGGTTTCCATATACAGATCAAGAATAAAAAAAAAATTCATTCCAAAAAGTAAAACTTGAATTTGTCACATGCTGAGCACTAATCTGTATCCATGCGAATCTACTGAACACCACTCATAATCATTATACAAGGCCAGTATTAACGTGTGTGTGTGTGAGAGAGAGAGATTGATATTTTCTATATGTACTGTGAAGGGTGCATCTGCTGAACATGATACAATACAGTACAACACAATACAGTGAAATCCCGTTATAGTGGACTCACTAATAACGGAATATCGTTTATAACGGACGAGGTCCGCTTGTTACGGCCGCGCGCCTTACGAACATGCAGAAAAAGCATCAGATATAGCGGACTGGCATATAACGGAATTTCGCTTATAACGGACCAACGATTTGGGCCCCAGGGCTGCTTTTAGCTGTAGTTTTGTTCCGCTATAACGGACATACAGGCTCCGCCTACAAGGCGTGTGGCGTGCCGGTGATATCCAGCGCAGATACATAGTCGGGATTATTAATAGTCACGCATCTGATCAGGTAAAGTTGGATTGCTACATGTACAGTATAATAATCTATACCACAAGTGTCTGCTGGGGTGCGGCATGAGTAAATGGTGTCCTGTAGTTGTGTTCTGAGCAAACAGCAACTCTGGATATAACGGACTTTGGATATAACGGACTGTTTTGCCAGGTCCCTTGAAGTCCGTTATAATGGAATTGTACTGTATAACTGTACCTACTTTGGCCCCTCCTATCTCTGATATTTAGAAAGTTTATTACAAGAAGAGGTCTCCTGTTAATCTTAACCAGAGCCAATATTAAGAATATAATAATAATAAATTATATATATCTCGTTTACTTCGGGGGGCCTTTGGTGAAGGACTTTACCTCAGGATCTTGTTCATAGCTGATGGTAAGAAGAAAGGTGAGATTGACAGATTGGTTTGGTCACTGCAGTTTTGTGGGTACTAAGGTGGTCTGTGGTGGTAGAGAGACCCTAAACCGATACTCTCCTATGGTTATTTACTGTGGGTAATGACCAAAAACACAAGGGTGTGAATACAAGGGGCTGAAGTGAGAATTATTTTGGCAACATTGCTGGACCCACTCTCTCTGATGGGGTGAGAAATTCGGAGATCCAGCGGGACCTCAAAATTGAGCTGTTGCCCCTTCAGCTCAAGAGGTGTCAGCTGAGATACTCTGAGTGTCATATAAATACGGCTCGCAAAGGAACTGTTCCTAGCATGGTAGAAAATCTGGTCTGACCTGCTATGGATTATGTCGCTGTGACCTTAGTCATGAAAACCTGTGGGATAATTATGATGATTTTGCCTCAGCGTGAAGACATGTACGACTGTATCAGACAGACTTTCCCGTAGACCAGTTGGTGATGCAATAATGCCTGGGGCACCGAGTAACCCCTTTCGTACAAGGCCGTTCAGACGTGCGCTACAGCAACACAAGGGAAATCCCGATTCCCAAACCCTTCATAGACTGTGAACTGGCATTTTTAAGTAATCACAAGTGTTATTCTGAGTATTACTTATCTGGGCAAACAGCTGCCTTGACAGCCTTTTATATACATTGTTTAAGCTTTCGCACAAAACAAAAAAAGTTTGCGAAAACAACCGTATTTTATATTTTAGAAAACCCAGCCTTTAATATTTTATGAATAGCACAAATTACACTTAAATTATTTGTTTGTATATGTCCTAAATTACCTACTCCCAGGAATTTTGAGTTGTCCTCCACCATTTTAATCTGTCATAATAATTTAGGCACTTTAGCTATAAGCCTGAAAACATTTGCTTTTAAAATATTTTTCCCCATCATTTGTTTGATCGTATCTAGTGCTGCTAATTTCATAAATAGGCCTAAATTTGTTCTAGTAAATATTTATTGCATCTCACGTGGGTTTTTTGCATTGCCATAACATTGTTTTGAATAAAGCAGTTTTACATAATGGCAATGAAAAACACGATGTATCATTCACTTTTTTCACGTATACGTCCTACAGTACGTAACGTGATAGATGCCTCGTTGGGGCAGCCCCAGCTATGAGTCAAGGTAATTTCTGGTAGCCACAACCAATCACATTTCCTCCTTCCACCAAGATTTGTGGTATGTCACCCAATCAGTGCTAAGAAAAAATCACAACCAATGAATTCCGCCGTCCAAAATTGCCGATCATTCATCTGGCATTCGGTGCTGATAATCTCCAGCGTTTTCTCAAATGCTCTTAACAGCTTAGGATAAAAGTTGGTCACCGCTGGTCCAAGTCAGAAAAGTTTGCAGTATTTCAGTCTGTATTTCGACACAAACTGCTCAAGACGTAAAGGTATGCAAATTGCACTTTTTAAAATACTGGTGATTTGCGCTCAAGTAATGCATCTTTATATACAGAAGCCTATAATAACATGCTATATATTTGTTGTTATTTCATTTTTATTTTCTCTCATTTAATTAGTTTTGCATTAAGTCATTTATTCCATAGTTTTCATCTTTTGGCTTCTTATAGTCTTATTTAGTATTTAACCTTAGTTTACTAATTAATCTTTTGTTGTCTTTATTACAGAGTTTCAGGATTGGGTCAGGCTTACACATCACTGCATGTTGAACTTGCATAACTGTACATAATTAAAATCTAGCAGAATCTTAGATACAGGAAAAGAGATAAGTCTTCTCATTCTTCCACTGAGCACTTTCATTTCATTTCATTTTTATCCATCATTTTTAATTTGTGCTTTAGATTGTGTTTTTATTTGGTACTTATGTATTTTCTTTTAATTCATGCTTTTTTGTAAAGCACTTTGAATGGCCTTGTGTATGAAAATGTGCTTTATAAATAAACTTGCCTTGCCTAATAGTTACTTAATTTATTTTTTATGCGTGTCTTCTTCACATTTAACAATGACAGAACAAAGGTAGCCTTGGCTTGCTTGTATGTGGCAGCCTTTGCAGTAATATTGTTACTTTTTTCAAAGATAAATGTTAATTTCATGTCTACTATCTCGTTTGACTTATTTTACCCAAAACTATAAACATATAACATGTAAAACTTTGCTCTTCATTATTATTTTTATAACCAGTCGTACAGCACGTTAAATTACTATTTTGGAAATGCAAAAATAAGTACTGTAAGTAAACATTCAATATTCAAGAGAATCGCTGTATTTAAATTACATTTAAAACAGAGTTCAGGTGTTAAAATGATTTATGCAGTACACTATAAAAATAAAGTTAAATGAATCTATATAAACAAAATTTCAGGTTGAGTTAAAATGTTCCAGATGGGGCTTGAATTTGCTACCCTCAGATCCATGCTTCCTGTGTCAAAAACAGGTTGTGTGTCATTTTTATAATGTTCCACATGTAATGCACAGCTGAACCAACAATGCCTCTTTTCTGTCCTCCCCCTCTTTGTTTTTTCTCTTTCCCTTGTTTTCCCCTTCTTTCTGCCCCCCGCCCAAAAAAATGGATTCTCAACCCTGATTGGCTGGAATGGGAAATTTTGGACAATGTTGGAGCTCAATGGTTATAATTTTGTCAGAGAAATGGAGAGGCATCTGACTGCAGGAGGAGCCTGAGAGCGAGTCTTCTCTGTCAGCACCCAGACCACTTTAAGGTTTAAAGAATGACTGGCACAGTAGCGAAACGTAAACAACGGATCCTGTCACAATGTTGTTACATTTTCGAGAATAAAGTATTGGGACCTGAGAGTGGAATACATGCTCTCAGAACCCTCCACTGCGCTCTCAGGTCCCTCCTACAGCCAGGTGCTCCTGGAGAGATGGGGATTCTCAGCACCGATTGGCAGGTGAAAGATGGGCTATTTTGGACAACAGCTAAACTCATTGGCTGTGAATGCTGGAAAGTGGTGGAGGCAGATGGCTGAAGATGCACAGAAGATCGATCACAGTTTTGATCACAGCAGATAACTTTTTTAAATCTAGACTTTACTATTATTTTATTAGTAGATTAGTAGATTATTTCTTGGGGGCAATTTTTCTTTGTGGAACTCAGGAGGAATCCATTAAATGGATGGCTGGCTTTTACCTCTGAATTCTTAAAAAAAGTGGGTATTGTTCTGTAACGGAGAGTGAGTACTATTCTGTGACTGAGAGTGGGGTACTGTTCTGTAACTGAGAGTGGGGTACTATTCTGTGACTGAGAGTGGGTACTGTTCTGTTATTGCTTGAAATACATTTTTTTTTATTCTGTCTGTCTATCTGCATGTCTAAGTAATTACATTTGTAAAAAAAAAAAAAAAAATCGTAAAACACGAAAGGCTATAATGTTGAAATTTAGCAAAGATAATGGTTGTTACATGTCTACTTAAAACATGTTTAATGCCCACCCAGTTTGGAGATGCTTTCAGCTATTTGAACGAACAGTGCTTTTCCTAAATTTGCTTGCAGTGAAAAAGAACCTCAAAATGCTAACAAACATTTTGATGATAGATGACAAAAACAGTCAATAGTGAAGATGGTCTTTGGTTTGCTGTTTTTTAACCATATAATCAACAGCAATAAGTAATCTTCAGTCCTACAATATAATGTATATTTAGGGTAGCTGCTTAGTTCCTCTACTTTATAATCAAGAGTAACAGCAAGCACTTTGTCTCACTATATAATCAATATTAACAGCAGGTTCTTTATCCTGCTGCTATGTAATTAATACTAACAGTAGCTATTCAGTCCATCAACCCTGTAATCAAGTCATATTATCCCCCAATTCGTTCTACCATCCCATCAACTGTAACAGCAGCTATCCCTTGTTTCTGAAGTATTTTGTGCTCCTATATGAAGTTATGTCCTGTACATTTATTTCAACAGCAGACCGCTGGAATGCTACTGTTCTAAATGTGTTAAAAATGGAGTAAGGTTTTAAATAATCTGGGTTTTCTGCACTCATGTACGCTTGGCACTTCAGATGTGAGGAGTTATTCTGCTTTTTTTAGAAGCAATTAAAGTAGTTTTTTCCCA